GTGAATGGTAAGTCCAACTTAAAATGTCGTAGAAGATGAAGGTAGTGAAGACATAGTTAAAAAGTGGAGCAAGGAGGAGGGAAGGGGTGAAAGTTTGTTACCCAATTTCTACCATAAGATATGGAGGTCATTGATAGGATGGAGGGGGAAGGTATTTTGTCCACTGAAGAATTGGCTCGCAGGGAATCTATAAAGCTTGAATTGGTAAATAGATTACAAATAAAGAAGATGCCATGGAAACAAAAATCGAGAGCCAAGTGGATTAAGGAGGGGGATAGAGACATAAAATTCTTCCATAACATGGCAAATCATCGTTGGAGGATTAATGACGGGTAATGAGCAGCTAAGATAAGTGATCATGAAATTCTTCTATAGACTATATGACGAGGAGTTTAGTCAGAGGCCCAAGTTGGATGATCTCATCTTCATATCTTTAGATGAGCTGAACCGAGAATCGCTTAAAAGAGAGTTCACTAAGGAGGAGATTCTTGAGGGGCTCTTGCACTGTAGAGGGGATGAAGCTCCAAGTCTTGATGGTCTTGACACGAGTTTTTTATAAAAAATTTTGGCATGTAATGAAAGAGGATATTCTTGAACTAAATTATATGACTTGGGTCCTTTATTAAATCTTTAAGTTTTTCTTTCTTGGTACTCATTTCTAAGGTGGATTTTAGACCTATCAACTTAGGTGGTAGCGTGTATAAACTCATTTATAAAATTTTAGCTAGAAGAATGGCCAATGTGATAGATAAAGTGGTGGACGAGTGTCAATATGCTTTTGTTAAAGAAAAACAAATTATGGGTACGACTTTTATGGCTAATGAGGTTCTAGATGAGATGTTATTCAAGAGTAGAAAGGGTTTCGCACATCTCATTGGGCATGGAGAAGCATTGGGAACCCAATTTCTTTCTTCGGAGCCGTTTCTTTTCCCGTCCCCCCACCCTGGCATAGCGCTTCGCTTCCGGTTCCTACATGGAGAAATCCGATGATCGTGTAAATTAGAGCTTTCTTCATCATATGCAGAGAAGATTGGGTTTCAGGGACAAATGGTGTAGATAGATTAACTCTTGTATCAGTACAACTTTTTTTTGGGTCATGGTGAATGGAGGTCCATCTTTTTTCAAGACCTTCAAAAGTTTTGAACGAAATGCTGTCAAGAACCGGAGAGCTGAAGTTGTTTAAAGGTTTAGAGGTTTAAAGGTGGGTGAGGGTGAGCATGGGGAGGAGGTAACCCACTTATTTTTTACTGGTGAAGGTGTTTTGTGAACTGGTTGAGAGGGAAATGATTAATCTCAGATGCATTTTGCTGAGTTTTCAAGCAGTTTTTGGTCTCAATATCAACTTAACCACATCTAGATTTGTGAAAATGGATGATGGGAAGGATGCTCTTAGTTTAGCGAGAGTCATGGAGTGTAAAAGTGTGGAGTTGCTGATTAAGTACTTGAGGTTATCTTTGGAGGCCGAATATAAAGATGTGAAGATGTGGGATCCAGTGGTGGCAAGGTTTGAGATGAGGTTGACGGGATGAAAGAGAAACCTTCTGTCCAAAAAGAGGAGACTTGCACTCGTTAAAAGTGTCGGCCAACCTCCCTATTTATTCTGTTCATATAGACAATCCCAGTGAGTGTTGCCAATAGACTGAAATCAGTTCAATGTAGATTCCTTTGGGGTGACTATGAGGATAGGAAAAAATATCACTTAGTGGTATGGGATGAGAACAAAAAACCAATGTCTC